GAAAAATATTTAGTTTTTCCCAGAGAAACGGGTCCTTCATTCTAAACAGTTTTTACGATCTTCTGAAAAAATACCAATTTAAGGGCGGAAACACATGACAAAGGTTTAACAAGCTTGGTTTGTTGTCTGCTCTAAAATATTCCATTACAACGTTGAGTAGATAGTTATTTGATTTGGTTTCTCTCATGAAAATCTCTCATGTCAAAAAATTTCCAGACGCTAATTTTTATCCAAATATTGACGTTACTTCAGAAATTATTTGGAAAAAATCTGACGGGAGTCGGAATAGCGAGATGCGGAGGCGCGGGAAGGGAAATAAAATAATGGCGATAAATAAAGGGCAGGGAGATGGGTATCATGAGTGGATGGGAGGTGGCGGAATTTCCAAAATTTGTTATCTTATTGGAGTTTGTTTAAGGAGACAGTCGTAGTGGAAGTGGAAACGGGGAAGTTGTTGTCCATCTCTGTTTAAGCATAGACTTTTTATAGGCGTTTCATTCCAATGCATGTAATTCCTATGCCTAGAGATCCATTGCCGGGCCTATAAAATCCTTAAGTGACTGACTCACTGATTAATCACGATCCTGCTCAAACCACTCAACGTAAGAATCTCAATTTGACAGGAATACAGGTTGATTCTAGGGTGTGGAGGTTCGATAAGAAGGGATTTTTCGAAATTCCAGTTCCAAGGGGGTGAAACCACCCTCAAATATTACAATATTTTTTATTTAAAAAACGGTCAAGTTTCCGAAAAAAACGCTTAAACACGTTTATTTTATTTTGTTTTTTACATATTTTAAGATTTTTTTAAAATGTATACAGGGTGTTTCGAAAAATCTGGTCATTGATTAATCACGATCCTGCTTAAAGCGCTTAACGCAAAAAGCTGATTTTTGGAAAACGGATTGACTTTAGGGTGTAGAGATTCGATAAGAAGGGATTTTTCAAAACTCAATTCTAAGGGGGTGAAACCACCCCTCAAATATTAGAATATTTTTTATTTAAAAACCGGTGAGTTTTTCGGAAAAACTCTTAAACACATATTTTATTTTGTTGTTTTACATGTTTTAAGATTTTTTAAAAATTTATACAGGGTGTTTCATAAAATATTACCATTGAGTAATTACGATTCTACATAAACTGACGTTTAAAGCTGATTTTTGGCAAACGGATTGACTGTGGGGTGTAGAGGTTCGATAAGAAGGAGTTTCTTGAATCTCAAATTCCAAGAGAGTGAAAACGCCCCTCAAATATTACAATATTTGTTATTTAAAAAAACTTTTAATCTTTCGGGAAAACGCTTGATGCGCATAATTTATTTGTTTTTTACATATTTTGAAATTTTTTAAAAAATCTTACAGGGTGTTCCAAAAAGTTGGTTTGGTAATTGATTAACCACGATTCTGCTTAAACTGCTTGACGTAAAAAGCTTATTTTTGGCAAACGGATTTTTAAAGTCAAACTCCAACAAGATGAATCTACCTCTCAAATATTACCAAGTTACAAAAATGTAATAGAATAATATCAAGCTTTGTAAAACTTTATCTTTTTGGTTTGTTATTCTAAGATGGAACCATTTCAGTTTACGAAGTTATCAGTTGACATAGGCAAACGAATTTTAAAAGGCCTAAGCAAATAATCTAATGATATTCAAGACACATAAACTCTCTAAAAGTACGCATATATCCTGAGAAACTAACTAAGTAAATAATACAATCTTCTAAATAATTTAAAGTCACATAAACGAGGGTAAAGTAAAACAAACATTCATCCCTTATTATCAAAACTCTATTTGACAGAGTGGTACCAGTTGTGTACCCTAGGGATATCTCAAAATAAACACCGCAGAAAAAGCACGTAGGCATGCTTAACGAAATAAGTAAAATTAAATCATCCCCTCGCTAGAGGTTTTACATTGAAAATTAAAAGTATTAAATATATATTTTAAAATCAGAATCCAAATGTTCACGAGATGAATGTCTGAAAATGATAGAAATAGGATTGTCTTTTTTTCCGTTCCTAGAGTTAAATAGAAATAGACAAAAATGTGAAGAAATAAAGAGTTAATTTCTAGGCGGTTTTTTTAAGGTAATCCTATGATTCGGTATCATTTGTATTAGTTAAGGTAGATTATGAATGTTATTCAGCAAATGGGTAAAAGAGTAAGATTTACACGGAAGGGTTTGGAAATTACAATTAAATAATAAATAGGACATGCTGATGCCCTCTCGGGATAAGGACCAGAAACAGGGGTGGAAGAAGTCTAGGGATCTTTCGGGGAAGGAACCCTTCGGCCAATTAAAAAGGTGCAAAATATGCATTTGGATGGGTATTCGAAGGTTACTCAAACAGGGGCGTGCCGAAGATGTACTAACGCCTTTCCGAGATAGTACCAGCATCAGTATTTTCATCTTCAAAATTAGTTCGGTACTGACTTTTAAATTAGTCGGTCGAATTTACTCCGTGTAGATCTTATATTATCCAGTGGTCTTTTTAATTGTTTTAGTAAGTTCTCTATCTAAAGAATTTCTCAAAAAAATGCTTAAAGTATTTTAATTGTTGTTTTGGATTTTCTCTAATATTTTTCTTTATTAATGATTTAAGACTTTCTGTTTGTTCTAAAGGCTTTAGTAAAATTTAGATGCCATTGCATAAGTGCTAATTTTGCAATTGTTCTTTTTATTAAATTCTAATTTAAACTAAATTGTTCAGTGAATATTTTTTTAACATATTAATTTTCTGCCAACGATAATTCCAAGAGAGATTTGAAAGTGTATGCTAATTGTAGATAATTTAAATTGGACTAATAAGAAGAATATTTTGTATTTTTTTAACTTTATTATCTCTGAGTTTTAATTTCAATTCTCTAATTGTCATTAATTATTTTTGATTCAATTTCTTTCTTTTTCATTAATTATAAATGTTTTGTTGTTAAATCTTTTTCTTTATTTTTTTATTTATTTATTTCTTTATATTAAATATAGTTAGGTGTTGTGAAAAATCGGCATTTTATTTCTTTATTTCACCTAATCACTAAAATATTAAGTTATTTAAAAGAACACTGTGATAACCGGTCGAGTGGTTCAATCCAAAGTATGAGTCCAAGACCGAAGAGGTAGATCTACAAGGGGATCAATGAAATCTTCGACAGGTTCTTGTTGTTGATGTATTGCTGATGGATGTTGACGTAATAAGGTAAGTGGCAATAGAGTTTATAGTAACTGAATTTAGAAAGAGCCCTTACCATAAAAAGTGCGATGCCTTAATTTCTATTTTTAGCTGGTTATATTTTGTTTTTATATGTAAACGATAAACTATATTTACGCTCTGAAAAGACGGTGCTCTCATTAATCCAAGTTCTGCCTACCGCTCAATAAATTATTTTAATTATAATAATTATATAAAGGCCACACTACCATGATAACGGACAAAATTTTGAAAGTTTTGTCACATAATAATATCGCCATATTGTTTTTTCTCATCCTGACATAAATGTGAGAAAATTTTATCCAGTTTGTATGTTAATGGAAATTCTTGCTTTGCTTTATCATCACCATTACAAATGATTAATTCGACGCGAACGAAGTCACGGGTACACGCTAGTTTATGATACAGTTAACAACATTTCTGAAAAATAATACAGGGTTATTCACCTTCTCCGACAGGGGGTACTCTAGATAAATGATTAGATTTTTAGAAATGGTGAGTAATGAGTTCGTTGGTGAACTACTAAAACTACAATTTATGATTATTTTGAAACGCCGCAAAACGTTACAAATAAAAAAAAATATCAATGTTGTATTTTTTAAAAAGATCTCCCTGTATATTAATACATTTTTAATTTTTACTATTAAAATAAAGGTTGATTAAAATTTGCCGCGCTTTAATCTTACCGTTTTTGAGATATTTATGATTTTTGAAATCGTAGTAACAATTTTAATGCTTTATTTCTCTAGGAGTATTTAACTTTTTAAAACCAAATAATTGTACCGAAATTTTTCTATTTTTTCTAAATTTTGTGTTGTAATAATAAAAATTATACTATATGATACAGAGTGTTTAAAAATTTATATTAAATAATTACTTGTTTTAATCTATAAGTGTGCAAGTAAAGAACTTATTGGCCATCATAAGGCTCTTTTTGATGTCATATGGTAAAGCGGAGAGGTACCTCAGGACTTTTGCAACGCGAATATAGTGAATATATTTAAGAACAAAGGAAGTGCATCAGACTGCGGAAACTACCGAGGAATTTCACTACAGGCTATCGGAGGAAAAATTCAAATACTTTTGTAGCAAAATGGGCAAGGTTTTGGGCCAAATTTTTGTGACTTACGA